AAAGAAAGAAAGAAAGAAAGAAAGAAAGAAAGAAAGAAAGAAGGAAAGAAAGAAAGAAAGAAAGAAAGAAAGAAAAAGAGAGAGAACTGTTTTTCTCCGACTCTCACCGTTCTCTGTTAGCAAAGACAAACTTCCTCAGCTTGATGTCCCGGAGAACGATGCCATGTTGGTGACAGTGGGCAACTGCTTCAGCCATCTGTTGGAAGAGAGCGACAGCCTCCAGCTCTGGCACACGCTTGCGCCGTCTCACCAAGTCATGCATGTTGTCCTTCCCGGGCTCCAAAAAGACATAAACGTTCTGGTCTCCAACAATGACCTCAGTCACACGGGCAACGTTGGGGTGCGAGGGGAGAGCAGCGTATGGAGCCATCACCTCTGGGTAGCTCTTAGCTGGATAAACCTAAAAGGGAAGAGGAAGACATGAGGAAAAAACCCAACCATAAGTTACTTCAGTTTCAGAAGATCTCTAGGACCAAGGGCGTGTGCAAGACAACTCAGCCGGGGTCTGGGACATACCGTGTCAGCTCAAATTATACATGGGCTACCAGAAAGCCGGATAAAAGTTCCATTCCAGACCACGATCTTCTCCATGTGCATGAACTGTACCCAGAATGGGCAACTCGCGGTCCTCTAGATGTTCTTGGGCTCCGATTCCCATCAGCCCCATGCCATGGATCAGTGAGGAAGGAAGTCATGGTCCACCAAACATCTGGAGGACTGCAAGCTGCCTGTTTCACCTGGTATTAGGAGGCACATCATTGCCAACCCGGAGGTCTCATTGAGTCTTCAGAGTGTTTGATATGCCTGTCCTCCATGTTCTTTTCTAGGAGTCACCACAGGAGAATTTTGAAGTGGTCCATCTAGGGACTGATCAAGTTCCTGCTTGTGGAACAGCTCAAACAGAGTGAGGGCTGAGGGTCCCATTTCATGCTAAGCTATCCTGTGGATCATTTGGTTTGGGCTCAACGTGTTGTGTGAATCCAGCTGCTGTGGTTGGCAAACTCCAGTTTATGGTTAAATGCAATAGGTGAACCCAGCCAATTGTGGCTAATTCAGCAGATCATGGTTTAAGACCAGAGTTCAATCAGTCTAAGAGCTAGAGGCAATTTCACACAGCCTGTGTTCAAATGGGGAGGGGCAAGACTTGCTTGCTGGATAGTTTTCAAGGATTAATAAGTGTTTGAAGCCTCTGCAAGGCCTTGGTTTGCCCTGACCACCTTCAAAAACTGCATGAAAGGGCAAAAATGTTGACACTACCAATTCTGGTCTCCGCAGATTTCAAAAGGAACATATCTTTGCAGATAGCAAGGAGCCCATGGGCTGTAACTTTCTGCATCCATAGTTTAAAACTAGCCATGGGTTAGCAGAATGTGCAAAATATCTTAGAGTCAGGCCAAGCTGCTGAATAAGGGTGGTACATGTGCTATGAACCTCTCTGAGAAACTGTAAAAGCTGAAGGCAAAAAATCAGGGCGAGTCTGCTAGCCCCTTTTCCAACTCACAAACTTTATTCAAAGGCTGCTGCTTTGATTTTTTGCCTACCAAGACTAGCACAGCTCTCCTCCTCCACTGTAAAAGCTGAAGGTATATAAACCCTTGCACACACCAGCCCAAAACTGATCCTCTCAAAATTACCACTTTAACTCAGTTCCCAGAGGGGAGGGGTTTACTAACAAGGATGAGAACAGTTCATCTGGTTTTCTGCTCCCCCGCTTAACTCCCCGCAAACCAAAATGGGCCAGATACTTTTAGCCCTGCCTCTCACATGTCCTGTACACCAGGGTTCCTCAACCTTGGCAACTTTATGACGGGTGGACTTCAACTCCCAGAATTCCCTAGCCAGCCTGGCTGGCTGGGGAATTCTGGGAGTTGAAGTCCACACGTCTTAAAGTTGCCAAGGTTGAGGAACCCTGCTGTACACAATGACACGAAAAGGACAACATGACATCCCTAGGCAAACTCCAGTCTTTTGCGCTTGCGTCCCATCATTCAACGCACGTCCGTAAGTCACGGAGGTTGCACTGCCATGTCACAACGCCTCACCCGCTTCCATTGACATCCCATCTCAGAAGGAAAAGGTGGGTGGTGAATTGCAGCCCTCCGCTGCCACACAGACAGGCATTCACGGGATTATGGCATCAGATTTGGGGACTCGGATGAAGATCATGCTTGTGCAGGAAGATTTACACCCTCAACAGTTTGTATAAAACACTTTGGTGTGTGCCAGAACACTCTGTTCGTGGTGGCCACCTCAGAACAAAGAGAGGCTAATTTCAACACCAAATAGCTGACCTAGTTTCTACATGTGACCATCAGCTCATCGGGGCACGGACGTTGCTCCAGAACTGTCACATTCCACAGCTGTCTTGTGAATTATCAATAGGTAATTATTTCTGGCTGCAACTCCTGTCCACCTCGCTTTTCATTATTCTGTGCAACCAAAAATGTATATAAGCTCCTCTCTCTGGATCTCCCTATTAACTAATGATGTGAACCAGAGTCCATAAAAGCTGAGGCCACAGCAAACCCCTTGGGTTTGTCAAAAAAGCAACTTCACTTTGGGGAATCGGGGGGCAGAAGCGAATTCCTATACGCTGAATTACTCAGGCCCTGCTTAACCTAGTTTGTGAAATCGCCCTTTGGGGGGGGTTCCACAAACATAGGCTAGCCACACAGGCTGGGTTTCCACAATAGAATGCAAACGAATAACCCAGGGTAAAATTCAGATTAACTTAGTTAAACATGTGGCACAATTGGAGCCATAAGCTGATTCTAAACAGGCAGTCCCCACCATGTGCAAAACTATTTCGGAGCGTGCCCTCTAGCCCAGCCGCCTCCTACCTTGCAGGTAACCTCTGCCTCGGTGTGTCTGTTCACAGCCCGGTAGCAGCGCCCACCTTCCGTGGGCTCCAGAAGGATGTAGGGGCCAATGTGAGCGATGGTCAGGCCCTGGTCCGCAGCCGGTGGGCAGTGAGGCAGGGGCTGGAGGCAGGGCGTTGGCCCCAGCACCTTGTCCAGACGTGGGCGCTTGGGCGCTGGGCTGCCCGCTTTGGATGCTTTGTCAGAGCGCAGCCGCCTTTTGGGCACATGAGCCTCCGCAAGAGGCTTTTGCACAAGCAGGCTCATCTGGAAAGAGCGCAGGGGAGAGGAAAGAATTATTTATTTATTTGTTTGTTTGTTTGTTTGTTTGAGCAATTTATATGGCCGCCCGACTCACCCGCAGTGACTCCAGGCAGCTTACAGAAATAAAACCCCAAATACAAACCCACTACACCCCCACCCCCCAATATTAACTGAATTAAGTTCAGTTCAAGGCGTTTCAAGTCAAAGAAAGTCACAGCTGGCCAGGATTCAGTTCCCATTCCTAGCTCTGGGTCTGGTCCCTGGGATAATGAGTCCTTCCCTAGAAACTGAGACCAGGAAACTGGGACATCTCCGTCTCCTTCCTTCGCCAAGAACCATGCACAGAATCAAAGGGCTGAAAGCAATCATCCAGTCCACCCCTTCTCAGCCAACGCTGCTAGGTGTGTTGTAGCTTAAAAGCTTAAAAGCCCCTCGCCTAACCCTTCCTCCTTCCAGCTAGTTCATTTTAATATTAACAGGCTAAATCAAAGGTACCCACAGAAGAGAGGACCAAACTACTACGATGCCCGAAAAGCTCATACAGAAAATGCAGTGAGAAAAAACCCACAACAGTGATGAAAAATGACAGCAGTGATCAGCACCAAATATTGGTCTCTCCCACCCCAGCTTCCTCAAACAGGACTGGAAGCTGGTTCCCCTCCTGCAGCTCTGCCAAGGAAAAGACCTGACCCCATTTGCTCTAGAACAGCATTTCCAAAGCTCAGTAACGTTAAAATATGTGGACTTCAACTCCCAGAATTCCCCAGCCAGTTTGCTGGCTGGGGAACTCTGGGAATTGAAGTCCACACATCTTAAAGCGTGCTGGTTGGGGAATTCTGGGAGTTGAAGTTGCCGAGGGTGGGAAACACTGATGGCCCCAAGGTGACCCCAGCCCCCATGTGCCAACAGGGCTGCAAGAACAGGAGCGATGCAGAGCTTGGAGCAATGAGGCTCCCGTACAGGAGAAATCTCCTGTAAGCACCCCATCCCTGACTTCAGACATTTTTGCTAGACATTGCTACTACACTTTAAAGCTCTTTTTCGTAATGCCAGTTCATTTTGCAACCCAAAGATCCACATTTTTTCTGCTATTGTTCCCTTCTTCAGATGAACACTGTTCTGTCTGGTATTACAGGTAGTCCTCGTCTAGCGACCGCAATTCAAACAGGCAACTCGGTCGTTAGGTGAAAATTACACGACTGCAACCACACTTACGATTTTATTTCAGTTTTCCTTTGCTTCTTGCTACTTCCTTCAGCTGAACTGGGGTTCTTTCTTTTTCTCTTTGGGGACCTCTTGGTATGCGGTAAAGAAGCAAGCGAAAATAATAGTCACAAATGTGAGGACTGGTCGCGAAGTTGTTTTTTTAAGCACTGTCATAATTTCAAACGGTCGTGAAACAAGGCAGTCGCTAAGTGAGGACTACTTGCAGTCCATTACACTATCCTGGGCAATGCATTCCAGATCCTAATTTTGCCTTGTGGGAGTCAACCATGGTCCAAGCCAAACACCGAAGATAGCAGTGTCTGTTTGCTCCCCACAGCCTATGATCAAGGAGGTGTTGTGTGAGATGATGGTGTGAACACCAGCATTCATCCTCTGGGCATGCAACGAGTGTGAGTCAAAGCAGCCCCTGTGTCAGAGGCCAGAACGGCTGAAGAGCAGCTCTCATAATGCAGGAAGTTCCTGAGTAATCTTACACAGAGAAGGCAAAATGCAAATCCACTTATAACCGCTGTTTAGAAGATTGGAAGCTGGCTCTTCGTAATCTTTTCTTTCTCTTCCCCCCCCCCCCATTCTCTTTCTCTTTCTCTTTTTTTCTTATTTTCTTTCTCTTCTAGCCACCATTTTTCTTGCTTTCCCTTATCCCTTCTCTAAAATTTGTATTGTTTTTATCTTGTTAAGAAATGTCTTTCATGAAAATTATAAAAAAGAAAGAAATGGCTCCCAATAAACCCCGAGCCCAGCGGTCCCGGGCAGCCAGGATGATGCCCGAAGACGTGCAGCATATATTAAAATACCCGAGAGGGTTCAGCAACGGGGGCTGTTAGTGCTGCAGCAACGGCTGATGCAAAGAGACAGCAAGTTCCTCCGTTGTCTGACTCAGGAGACTGAGTTTCCTGAGAAATAGTTCTTTCAAAGTTACAAGGAAAGCGCTCTGTACGTGCTCAGAATCCCCCTTTCTCTTATTCGTTCAGCAATGTTGGGGCCTAGGCTTTTATCTCCCTGTCCTCCCTGGCACTTAACTATAAGCCTCTGCTACGTACGGCTATAAGAGCAAAATGCAATCTTGGTTTTCCTCCAGGGCACGCCATTCAGACCTCTTCCCTGGACCACATTTAAGAATAAAAATCCACATTTAAGAATTAAAAAATCCACATTTAAGAATCAAAAGAACATCTGGCATTTGTCTAATGCAGTGTTTCTCAACCTTGGGAACTTTAAGATGGGTGGACTTCAATTCCCAGAATTCCCCAGCCAGCCATGCTTGCTGGGGAATTCTGGGAATTGAAGTCCACTCATCTCATGCTCATTCTTACAATGCTCATTCTTACAATGATCTTGTAAGATAGGATTAAATTTACAAAATAACATGCAGGAGGCCTCACAGAGTCAGTCAGGTGTAGTGGTTAAAGGCCCTGGACTGGGAGCTGAGAGACTCGAGTTCGAGTACTGCCTCGGGCACGAAGCCAGCTGGGTGACCTTGGGCCTGTCCCTCTCTCCCAGCCTGAGGAAGGAGAAGGCCAAGACAAACCCCTTCTGGAAATCTTGCCAAGAAAACTTTAGGTCCAGGTAGTTTGAAAAACCCTGCTTTTGTCCAATTTCATGGAGGATCCTCCTGGTTCAAAGTCACCTCTTGGGGCCAAGCTCACACTTCACATCCTTGCCCAACAGGCTCCCTTCCCCTCCCATGTCAAGCCAGAAATAAAAGTAAAAGTAAAAGTCACTCCAGTCCAGCTTGACACTGGTGACTCCACAGCAACAGTTTGATAATAGCCTTAGCAACAATACAGAAGTGGTTTCCTCTGGCCTTCTTCCAGTCCAGTATTTGGACTTTCCAGTTGACCCTACAGCGCTAGGTTACCTGGTGGCCTCCCATCCAAGTACCAAACAGAGGTAGAGTTTAATTCCTGGTGACTTCCGTGCCCACGTCCATGGATTTTTCTGGACAGTCATACAGAAACAGCTACCGTTTTTCTGGGAGGGCTTTTTGACTCCCCCGTCCACTGTGAGTTTTGGGCTAAGGGAGGCCCCTCCCTTTTACCTCCGTGGTGGAAAAGAAGCATCTGTTTGCATGCAGGTGTTTTGACCCTTAGGGTGCTGCCTTCCCCATTTTGCTACAGCATCTTCTGCCCCTCATTGGTGGGGCCCAAGGCGCATGGGTGGACGGCACGACAGGCAGCTGCACCTCCTGGCGCTCCTGGCAAGGATGAGCAGGTAGCTCTTCCAGCAAGGCAAAGGGGGAGCCTCACGGCTTTCCCTGATTTCTTACGTGGCTCCTTCCAGGTTTCCCATCCAAAGCTCTGGCAAGGTGGTTGGTCAAGGCCAGTTTAGGTGGGATGAGTCACCCAGGCAGTGGTGCAAGAGGCTGGCAAAGCCCCATGCATTCAGTCACCTGGGGCGAGTTCATGACCACCTCCAGGTGATCAGAAAGACAAACAACAATCAACCGCGGCGTGCACAGCAATTGACCCCCAGCAATTTTCTTTACAAAGTCCCTGAGTGTCATCCATGACTAACAAAGATATGCTGGAGAACGGATTTTTATCAGCTATTTGCTTTATTGGCCTCGATTTGCAGAACTGGTTTAATCCCTCTCTGTGGTGCCCTGAAAGCCAAGATCCCGGTTTGGCCTGCCCTTTGCCTCTTCCCGGTTGCCGAGTGCGCTAGTCCAGGACAACAGCTAGCCCCTGTGAAGCAACCCTCGAGTCAGCCCGGCCAGGCCCGACTTCTGCGTCTCCTCGCCCACAGGAGCCACGACTGCTCCCCGTGAAGGAAGCCAGCACATTCATCGGCAAGTCACTGGTGATGCGTTCCTGAGTGATGTGCCTGGGCTGAATCAGCAGGTCCAAAGGGTTCCTGTTCCACCTCGGCGGAGCCATTTGTCCGGGGAGATGGCTGAGCAGCCCCATTTTCCCTGCCCTGACAATCTCCTGGACTCCCAAGCCCATCTTTAGGATAATGCACCTGCGGCGCTTATACGCTTTCGCTTTCGTCTCAGAGAAACACTCCGGGAGAACGCGAGGCGAGGGGGGATTTCTGCGTCTCTCAGAAACCGAGTCCTCCGCCGGAGATCAGCCTCCTCCTCCCCTCTCCTCGACCCCCCCCCCTTCAATTTCTAGCCCCACCGAGGCTCAACCTGTAGAGCTCATGCTTTCTGCTGTTAGGAGGAGAAAGGGGTCCCAGCGCGCTACGTGCGCCGATGAGGAGGGCAGAGGCGGCTGAATGAAGAGGGGGGCTCTGGGGCCGGGCG